TCTTACCAAGCCCCTCACAGCAAAACAACATCTCACCTGCAGCCTCTTGTGCGGTCTCCAACCTCTTCCACATGTCGCACCGTCTGCACACAGTACTCACATTGAAGCTGCTGGAGCTGCTCTCTCAAGTTCGGGCTTCACAAAGGGAGCTGAACACGGCATCACGTAACTCCACACATCTCACTCATGTGTTTGATGATGTGTGCATGCTCAAGCATGTGCATGCCTACAAACGCACGAGTGAGAGGGGGAGTGGGGTGTAGAGTATCTTGGGGTGCAACAAATCAGGATTTCATCGCACAACCATCTTTTCATTCTCACAAATGTCCGCATATCATCATGAGAAGACCTACTGCAATCAGTAACAACGGCAGCCATCAGATATTCTGCTGCACAGTCGCTGCTGCCGGTTGGTCACAACCACTCGCCATCTGCAACGGCCGTTCCTGAAGACTTCAAATGCCTGAGGGTTTCAGGGGGAGAAGAAACAAGACAGCATGAGTCAAAACATTGTCCAAGCCAAAAGAGACGGAGGGCATCACAAGAAGCAGCTGACGATGTACTACTGAATACAGAAGCATAATTCCAATAGGAGGCAAGGGGAGCTGGAGACAGGGGCTGCTGGTGCTGCTCACCACTCATCATGGTGATGCAGGTGCTGCTGCTACAAGGCGTCAAGGGGAGCTGCCGCAGGGCGTAAGGAAGCTACAGGACGGTGCTGCGGCCCACCAGGTGCTGCTGGTGCTGCCGGGGGTAAGGAGCTGCCGTCACCGTTGCGAAGGACAAACAGTGGAGAAGGAAGTCAGTCACGTGACACAGGCAAGTTTCACCGCTACACTTCAAAGAATGAAAGGTGACTCCCTTGGTCAGAGGGAGAAAGTGGAGCGGACCGTCAGGTGCTGCAGCTGCGGCCAGCTCATACCATTGCCTGCCGCCTTACCTGAGCTGCAGCCGTGCGTCACCAGCTGCCGCTGCCGCCGCCCATCATGGTGGGGTGAGCGAGCCAGGAGCAGAAGCAGCCGCCAGGTGCTTGTGTACCAGTTGCAGCTGCCTCCGGGGGTCACCTAGTATAGGGGGAGCAACACATGGTCACGAGGAGCAGCACAGGGTCATGGGAAGCAGCACAGGGTCATGAGGAGCAGCGCAGGGTCATGGGAAGCAGCACAGAGTAACAGGGTAACATGGGTGAAACTGACAAGAGTCAACTAAGCATTCTCACCTCGGTCGGAAGGAGAAAGCCGTGCGCAGCCAGGAGTAGCAGTAGTGGGCCGCCAGAAGTAGCAGCCGTGCAGCCGCCAGGAGCAGCAGCCATGCGCTACCAGGAGCTGCAGACGTATGGGCCAGAGTGCCAGGTGCCGATGCCGGCTGCAGCCGCTCACACTCGCTAGCTGGTATGGGCGGGGGCAAGGAAAATCACAATAGAATGTGGGAGCAGTAACAAGCGACTTAGCACGGCCAGTGCTGCAGTACATCAATTGCAAGAAACACACATGAGTGAGGTCAAGATGCAAGCAGTGGTAGTTACACGGAGAAGGGCAACTCACCTCGTCAAGACAGAGTATGCACGTAGCTGCAGCGGTGCGGCGTCGGAAGCTGCTGGTGTGAGAAGGCCCCGCACCTGCCAAGAGCCAAGTGTCGCAGTGCAGATGCTGCCACACGAGTACAAGGTCGCCCGAAATGGCAAGGGGAGGGCGCGCACCAGCAGAAGCCGCCACATGCGAGGTAATGCAGCGGCGCGCATGCTGCTGCAGTCGTGCGCCAGTCGCTGCTGCCGATCGCCACGGGCGCCATGAACAGCAGTCGCGCGCAAGGAGCTGCAGCGCGCAGGTTGTCAAGCGAGGAGGTCACGGCAGCCGCGCGACCGAAGCAGCAGTCGCGGATCTGGCCGCAGCCTCAGGAAACGCGCATCCGGCGCTGCAGGTCGTCACGTGCGCTGCTGTCACCGAGCACCAGCCATGACATGGCGAGCGCTAATGATGCGCGCAGCTGAAGGACATCGCGCCATGGCGCAGCAAATTCATCGCGACTAAAGCAGCAGTCGCGCGATAGCAAAGGAAATCGGGCCAGCACTGGAAGGCAGAAAAAGCAGCACGTCATCCAGTCCTAACGTTTCGGTGAAAAATCGGGCATAGTCTCATCAGCAGCAGCGGCAGGAAACGATGAACAAGAAACTGAACGGGAGGAGGTGCTGAGAAACCCTGAGACAATCTGTCGAGAATGAGCCTGAATGACGAGTCTGGAAGACCCCTGCTGAGCGAGAACCGAGAGATTGCGGGGAGAATTGCGACCCAGGGCGTAGCACTGCTGGAATCACCTGAGAAGCGAGACGTGCGCCTACTCAGCTTGGATCGTGCAGCCGTCGCAAGTATGGTTCCCGCCGACACTTTCTCAACGGAACGTTCGAAACCCTAGCAGGGTGGATCAATCAACAGTCACTGCCGTGATCACCGCCACCACCGAAATCACCGCCGCAATCAACGCCATTACCACAAATTCAACCGTCAATTCCAACGTATCCTCCATTCAGTCACGCCTCAGTAAAACCTACAGCAAGGGGGAGTGTTAAATATACAAACATAAGATGATACTTATGCTGTTAGGTTTTACTGTAGTGTTCCTTTATAAGACTCTCAGTCCTCCAATAATTGTACAATTATTGGAGGGTCAGAATTATTGGTGGGTAGAATTATTGGCGTGACATTGTTGGTGTGGATAGTGTCAAAATTAGAAGAAAGAAAGAGGATTGAACTAGCAAGAATGAGGATACAAATAGCAAACCCTAGAAGGGTTGTACTCGCTATAGAGCACCCCACTACAGGCTAGAACAATAAGATAATATTCTGACACACCCCCATAGCCAAAGTGGGGTGTAATCAGCAGAGCAGGCAAAGCAAAACAAGCTCAGGGTGGATCCCAATGTCACCACACATTCTGAGCACAAGTTCAAGAAGAAATAGTTTAGAGTTCACAATTATAAGCAAAGCTAGTGGTAGTCACAACGGGCAAGTGAGGAGGAGGAGGGAGAGTGAGGGGAGAGGAGACAGGAGGCGACGGCTGAAGCTGCAGACACACGGGCAACAGGAGGCAGACTGGCACAGCGGCTACCGGACAGCGCCCGGACTACAGGAGTAACAGGCCCCGCGGCTCAAATAGCGGCGGACGGGCAACGGACCCACGGGCGGCTGGCACAGCTGGCTACGACTGGGCTACCGGGACAGCGCCTCGGACTACAGGTGCTGCTGACGACAAACTGGCAACCTCCGCTCATCCTCCCGCACACAGTCCCACCCCCCTGATACACACCCACTGCTACACCACTAGCTCTACTCCCACGCACCCCCCTAAAACCCTAAACCCAGTCTCCCACACAACCACCCCCCTCAGCGACAGCTGCAGCAGTGGGAGACGAAGGAGGAGGAGGAGCAAAGGGAGGAAAGTACACTGGCCACCCCCATACCTGCCACCCCACAGCGCGCGGCCCCCGAAGGAGCCGCGACGGGCGACGTGAATTGGGGGGGAGGGGAGAAAAAGGGGGGGGGGGGGACGGGGCCGGGGCCGCGACGAGGGGCGGGGCCGTGACGGTCGGGGCGGGGCCGCGACATAGGGCGGGGCCGCGACGTAGGGCGGGGCCGCGACATAGGGCGGGGCCGCAACGTTGGGCGGGGCCGCGAAGGTAGGGCGGGGCCGAGCCGGGCAGGCGCACGGGCGGCGACGGGCCGGGGCGGGGCCGCGACGAAGGGCGGGGCCGAGCCGGGCAGGCGCACGGGCGGCGACGGGCCGGGGCGGGGCCGCGACGTAGAGCGGGGCCGCGTCAAGGGGTGGGGCCGCGACGTAGAGCGGGGCCGCGTCAAGGGGCGGGGCCGCGACGATCGGGGCGGGGCCGCGACGTAGTGGAGAAGCCCGCCGCGCGCCTCGGGGCGCACAGCGGGCAATGAACCGCCGCGCGCCTCGGGGCGCACGGCGGGCAGAAAACCGCCGCGCGCCTCGGGGCGCACGGCGGGAGGAAAAAGTAGCAGCGGAAGCGAGGTGGTAACCCACCCACAGGATCGATCCAAGGGGATCGACCTGCTCTGATAGCATGTCAAAATTAGAAGAAAGAAAGAGGATTGAACTAGCAAGAATGAGGATACAAATAGCAAACCCTAGAAGGGTTGTACTCGCTATAGAGCACCCCACTACAGGCTAGAACAATAAGATAATATTCTGACAGATAGAACCATCTTGAAGGGGTTAGCTGCTCAGATAAATACCCTGCTCTGTCATTTTCATAACAATTCCATTGTTCTGAATCTTTTCAGTTGTAAGTTCCTCTTGCTACTTATTTTACAATCAAGCTTCCGCAATACCGGCACTATGCCTTTCTAGCAGTTTCGCTATATAATGTTCGCTCATGCCTTCGCTCAATTGTATTCTTGCTTCGATAGTGCAATTCTCGTTCGTTCACTCAATTGCACTCGTAACACCCACCAACTTATTCGAGCAATCAATCGTGGGACAAATACGAAGTGTAAACAAAGAAGTTCTCTCACTTCTTGGAATTTACCTGTAAACAAAGAATCACATCTGCTACCAAAACCTTCACATTAACATTAATTCATACAATAAAAAACGAAAAGAGCCATTATGAAAGCAAAATTGAATTTTAAGGAAGAATTATTTATTCATCTAGCAAAGCTCGTGTGTTCCAAAGTAGAAAACGGAATATGTGAAATTGTCCATTAAGGTAACAGTGTGTCCTGAGATATCTGAACTCGCAGTGTAAGTTACGTGTGTATATACTGTAAAGCGTATGCACTGCACACAGCAGATGCAACGAACCAACATCCGGTTATGAGCAAAACAGACATATCGAGAAATTCCAAATTCAGGGTCCTGTGACTTTTCATGAGCAACTCAAGGTAGGCCAATGGTCATGAGGGTTCGTATTGTAACGGTCCACTGACTAGGGTTAGCTGTTTGGCCATGGTCATTACTCGCGCGACACGGAGTCTATTTAGGCCATGGAATCCCCGAACTCGCGTCGCCTGTCTGTAGCGCGACCAACGGACGAGCCGGCCTCCGGTCTCGCAACCGGCTCCACCGTCTCCGCCGCACCTCCCGCCGCCACTGTCGGTATCTCCGGCGTCGCATTTATGGACGGCCCGATCTCTGCGTCGTTGAATCGTGGCCGCTCGAATCTGGGACGTGCGGTGCCGGGCAGCCGGATAGGGAAAGAAGAAGCCGTCGTGGACCGTAGGGCAGGGAAACGGGCAGCCGAAGAGATGGGGGAGGATAGCGAGGAGGAGAGCGAAGGGGAAGCGGAGGAGGGAGCGGACGAGGGAGCGGAGAGAGCGGAGGGAGCGGAGGAAGAAGACGGAGATGAGGGAGGCGCGACGGCAAATCAAGCCCGGAATGGAAGTAGGGGGACGTTGAAGGGGAAGGGAACGGTGAAGGGGACGGGGGAGGGGAAGGGGGAGGCGGAAGGAAAGGGGAAGGCGGGGGGTAAGCAGAAAGGGGAATCTTCGAGTGAAGCGGAGGTGTGCTCCATTTGCCTTGACGCCGTTGATGTGTGCTCCATCGAACGGTCCACAGCGCGGCTGAAATGCGGCCACGGCTTCCATTTAGGTAAGCTGATTGAAGCTTTCTGTCGACTCGACTCTTCTCCCCTGCCTTTTCTCCCATTTTGCTCCGCCTGAAGTCCCCCCGTTTTGGCTCCGCGTTTTACATCAAGCGCTGCATGCAGCGCCTAAACTGCCCCCCTACTGCTCCCCTTCCTTTTCCCCTTCGTTCCCCTCCTTTCTCCCCTCTTCTCCCCACTGCTCCCTGTTCTCTGCTCACCGTCTCTCCGTCCCCTCACCCCACCCTCTGCTCCCCTTCTCTCCTCCCTTCCCGTCCCAGACTGCATTGGCTCCGCCTTCAACGCCAAGCGCCGCATGCAGTGCCCCAACTGCCGCAGCGAGGAGCCCCACTCTCACCTTTTCGTTCTTTTCCCCCCTTCCGCTCCCCCTTTTCTCCCCTCCTTCCTCCCTCCAGACTGCATCGGTTCTGCATTCAACGCCAAGCGCCGCATGCAGTGCCCCAACTGCCACAGCGAGGAGCACGGGAACTGGCTCTTGCCCTCGCCCCCTTCCGCCCTTCTGTTCCTCATCCCTCCTTCCGCCCCTTCCCGTCCCCTTCCCCCAGACTGCATCGGTTCTGCATTCAACGCCAAGCGCCACATGCAGTGCCCCAACTGCCGCAGCGAGGAGCCCCAATAGTCCTGTTCTCCCCCCGTCCCCCCTTTGTTCCCCACCCCCCTGTCCCAGACTACATTGGCTCTGCAGTCAACGCCAAGCGCCGTATGCAGTGTCCCAACTGCCGCAGCGAGGAGCACGGCCACTGGCTCCTCCCCTCGCCCCTCTGCTCCTCATCCCTCCTTTCCCTCCTTCCCATCCAATTCCCTCCTTCCCATCCAATTCCCCTCCACCTTCCCTCCCCAGACTGCATTGGCTCTGCCTTTAACGCCAAGCGCCGCATGCAGTGCCCCAACTGCCGCAGCGAGGAGCACGGCCACTGGCTCCTCCCCTTCCCCCCATCCGCCTCCGCCCCCTCCCCCCCTCCCCTCCCCGCCTCCTTCTCCGATCTTGCTGCTGCCGCCGCTGCTGCTCGCGAATTCCAGGCTACTTTTGAGGGAGGGTTTACTGGTGCAGTAGGGAGGGAGTGGAGGGGAGGGGCAGGCTTGGAGTGGGGGGGAGAAGGGGCGGGGTGGAGGGAAGCAGGGGTGGGGTGGGGGGAAGCAGGGGTGGGGTGGGGGGAAGCAGGGGTGGGCGTAGGCACGGGGTGGATGCAGATGGGGGAGGAGAGGGGGGGAGAAGCGGAGTGGTGGTGGGGGGGGGAGCCTGTGGGGGAAGAATACGCAGAAGATGACTATGCTATATCGGAACGTGCTATGGAGGAGGAGTATGCTATATCGGAGCATTCTATAGAGGAGGCATTGGAGGGCGGGCCGATGGTGCATGTGCATGGGGTAGACCTGCCTCTGCGTCCGTGGGTTCATGCTGATGTGCGTGGGAAATGGGCATGGGGCATGGGGGATGGGGCATGGGGGACGGGGCATGGGGGATGGGGCATGGGGCATGGGGCATGGGGGATGGGGCATGGGAGACGGGGCATGGGGGATGGGGCATGGGGGATGGGGCGTGGGGGTTGGGGCATGGGGGATGGGGCATGGGAGACGGGGCATGGGGGATGGGGCATGGGGGATGGGGCGTGGGGGTTGGGGCATTGGGGATGGGGCATGGGGGATGGGGCATGGGGGATGGGGCATGGGGGATGGGGCATGGGGGACACTGAGGTCGTCGTCTCAATAGGACCCGGAGGGGCTGATGGCGCATGTGCATGGGGTAGACCTCCCACTGTGCCCATGGGTTCATGATGATGTGCATGGGGTAGACCTGCCACTGTGCCCATGGGTTCATGGTGACGCTCGTGGGGGATGGGGAACGAGGAAATGGTGCGCGTGGATCAAATATGTGTGCGAGAATGTCGGCAAGTTGATTCTAGCGTTTTTACTCACCAACTCACTCACTCACTCTCCCCTCTCTTTCTCTCACCCCTTCCCTCCTCCGCGCCGTCCTTGCGCCCTTCCCGCTCCCCCCTCCGCCCTCCTGCTCCCCCTTCAGTACGTACGTCTGTAGATGTCCCACCCCGGCGAGAGCGCCTGTCGTGGTGCATACATAGACTCCCATAACCCCTCACATCCGCGCCCTTCCCCCTCTGCGCCCTCCCTCCCCTGCAGATGTCCCACCCAGGCGGGCGCGCCTATCGTGGTGCATACATAGACTCCCAGAGCCCCTCATTCCCACCCCTGCATGTCTCCCCGCTCCCATCCATGCATCCCTGGTTGTCGTACCCATCACTCCCTTCCTCCTCCTCTTCTCCTCTTCGCGCGCTCTCCGCGCCCTCCCCTACAGATGTACCACCCTGGCGAGCACGCCACTCATGCTGCATGCATGGACTCATGTAGCGCCTCTTTCCCGCGCCCTCCCCCCTCGCGCTCTCTCCGCGCCCTCCCCTCTCCGCGCATTCCCTGCGCCCTCCCCTACAGATGTACCACCCTGGCGAGCACGCCTCTCATGCTGCACACACAGACTCATACAGCCCCTCGCTCTCGTCCGCTCATCAATTATTCACTCCCTTCCTCCTTCCCCCTTCCCCTCTCCGCGCCCTCCCCTACAGATGTACCACCCTGGCGAGCGCGCCACTCATGCTGCATACACGCCTATAGCCCTTCTTTCCTGCGCCCTCCCCCCCCCACACGCCCGCCTTGCGCCCTCCCCTACAGATGTACCACCCTGGCGAGCGCGCCTCTCATGCTGCATACATGGACTCCTACAGCCCCTCGCTCCCGTCCGTGCCTCTCGGGTAACCACCCAACGCAATTCACCCATGCTGCTTTGCGCCGCTGATATCAGATTCTCAATATGCTCAAGTCTTGCCGTTGCATGCCCTGCCCTCGCTGCTCTTTCTCCTGATTGGTCTTGCGAGGACCCCTGCCCTGCCCTGCCCACTCTCACTTTGAACTCTGCACCCTCGCATTCTGTTTTGAGAATTTTCAAAAGTGACCCCCTCTCACTCTAGACTCTGCGCCTTTCACATGCTGTTGCTGCTCTCCTACCTGCCTCTCCTGCCTTCCTGTCCTGCCTTCCTGTCCTGCCTTCCCGTGCTGTCTGTCTGAATTGTGTGTGGCAGGTCGCGGTATGATCCCCATCGCTACAGTCACCACCAGCTAGAGCATGCCATGACCGCAATGGCTGGTCTGCATGACGAGGGTGAGTGGGAATGCCATGCCATGCCATGCCATCGCAGAAGTCAACTTGATGTAACACCTGCCATCGCAGTGCGCCAACAGCCAGCAACCATTACCCTTTCGCCCCTCCTCCTATCACAGGTCGTCACTTTGGGTGGTACACAGAAGAAGGGGAGGGAGAACGAGGAGGAGTAGGAGGCAGAGAAGGAAGAGAAGGCAGAGATATGACAAATGCAGGCGTGGGCGTGGAGAGAAGGGGTGGAGGAGGAGGAGCAAGGGGAGGAGTTTCCTATCGTCCTGATCCTTCGGAACCTTCCTTTTCTCCTTATCCCTCAGACCCTTCCCCTCCCTCTTCTTCCGCCCGTCTCCCCAACCCGCCCGCCCATGCACATGCCTCTGGCTGCCCCTACCTTGCTGCCGCAGCAGCTGCTGCACACTCGGGTGCTCCCCCTTCCTCTTCCCGCTCCCCCGCTCCTCCTCCTGCCTTCGCCCATCCACTCTTTCCTGGCTCTTCCCACAATCATTCCGTCCCACAACACCAGCGCCATCGCCACCAGCAGCAGCAGCAGCAGCAGCGGCCGCATTTGCCCCACCACATGCACCACCATCCTGCGTCCGGGGGGTTTGCTGGTTCAAACTCGGGGCAGGAAATGGAGTGGGAGGCCTGGGAGCACGCACATCCCGCCACTAGATCATGGTGGCACGAGGGTTTCCCCCCTCCCCGCATGCAGCAGGAGCCATTTCCCCCTCCCCGCATGCAGCGTCAGGAGATTTTCCCCTCCTCGGGCCTGTATGAGGAGACCTTTCTGCCTTCCGGCCTGTATCAGGAGAGTTTCCCTCCTTCCCACCTGGAGCAGCAGGAGGACGGGCGAAGGGTAAGAATGTGGGAGGGCAGGCCCATGGGCAGAGGGATGCATGAAGAAGGTGACTATAACGAATGGATGAGGGGAATGAGAGAGCGGGAGTTTGGCCCTGCTTCTTCCCCTCGTCCTCCCCGCCCCCCCTCCCCCTCCTCCTCCTCCTTTTGCTGCCTCAGACCCCTCCTTCCCCCAACCCCGCCACCACCGCTCCATGCGTCCCTCTCCTCTCCCTTCGCCTTCTCAAATCCCCTATCCAAGATCCTCCCGCATGCACCCGCTGCATCAGCCTCGCCAGAGCAATCACCCTCCACCACCACCACCGCCTCGCATCCCCCAAGCACACCCCGTGGGCCCCCGCCAAGTACCTCCCCCACACCCTGTGCCACCGCACCTCCAAGCACACCCCTTGGGCCCCCAGCAGGGATCAGAAAATCCCTTGTCACGTCACCTGGGCAGTTACGGGCAATCTCGTATACCTCCTGATGGTGGGGTTGGTGGTGGTGGGGGAAGCTATGGTGTAGGGCGAGGGGGAGAGAGTGCGCGTGGGGAGCGGAGGTGGGGAGGAGGAGGTGAGGGGGGAGGGTGGGGATGGGGATCAGAGGGAGCGGCAGGAATGAGTGGTGCTTCTGCTGGTGCTGCTGGTAATGGTGCTGCTTCTGCCTCTGCTGCTGTCGGTGGCAGTGGCAGCGACGGTGGTGCTGCTGCTGCTGCTGGTGGCAGCGGCGTGGGTGCGGCGAACTGGCAGCGGGAGGAAAATTCATCAAGCCTACGCACTGCTGGTTCTGCTGCGCCCGCTGCTGATCCCACCGCCCCGCCTCCCCTCTCTGCTACGACTGCCGCACCTTGGTTATCCCGCATGCGCTCCTCCCGGCACCCAGAGGCGTTCACAGGCGGCCCTCCCTTTGCCTCCTCTGGTTTCCCCGGTGACTCAAGAGTTCCTCTCGCTTCTACTTCTGCCGTGGGGAGTAATGGTGGCGGCGCTGGTGCTGCTGGTGTGTCTGCTGGTGGTGCTGCTGCTGCTGCTACTGGTGGTCGTGCAGGTCCAAGGTGGATGGCACAAGGCCAAGTCGTGGCATCATCACCATCACCATCGCCATCATCGTCGTTGTTTGAGCGCCAGGGAAACGAGGTTAGTGTGGGATTGCTAGTGGTGTTGTTGGTGCCCGTGTAGGTGCGGGGTGGGTCACATGGAGCCAAGGCGTGGCATCATCATCATCACTATCTCCATTATTGTCGCTATTTGAGCGTGAGGGCAACGAAGTGAGTGAAAGTGCTGAGTTGTTAGAGCGTGAGGACAACGAGGTGAGTGAGAGTGCTGAGTGACATGCCAAGGGCGTGTTACTGGTGACATGTGACAGAGATGTGACAACAATGTTCGGCTCCACGTCAATGACGAACCGAAAAGCAAGGTTATAAAATAGTACACATTTGGTACGTTTCTTGAGAGCTGCGGTTTTTCAAGGATGCCCTTGCCAGGCAAGTCTGCTATTCGTCCACCCACTTTGCATCGTAGTACCAGGTACCTGAAATCCGAAAACCCGTGTGATCTGTTTTAGATCACGCCTTCAATGAAATTTGTACTCCATAACACGTTTTCAACAAGAGTGCTCGCGCGCCATTGTTACGACTGCTTTCAAAGGCATCAACTGTTAGTCAAACGATTCACGCAATGCGTTGCATTTCGAGTGCCATTCGATTCGTGTCACACGATTTTCATGAGTGTCGAGTGTTTAAACATCATGTTGACAGCATCATATTGAACTCTCGAGGTGCCATTCTCGCTTATGGTCAAACGAGCAGCGGCAAAACCTTTACCATGAAAGAAAACGTCATACCGCTCTCCATCAAACAGGTGTTAGATCACATCGAGAAAGTGGTAACAAATCAACATAACAGCTTCACGAAGTCCTGAGCTAAAATGTTAAACTGGTTACATGAAGTATGCAGTTTAGCCCAGGATTGCGTGAGGCTTTTATGTTGATTTGTTACCTTTCTCGATGTGGCCGAACACCTGTTTGATGAAGAGGGGGATGACGCCTTCCTTTATGGTAAAAGTCTTGCCGCTGCTCGTTTGACCATAAGCGAGAATGACACCTAGTGAGTCCAAGATGATGTTGTCAACATGATGTTTAAACACTCGAAACTCATGAAAATCGTGTGACACGAATCGAATGGCTCTCGAAATGCAATCTGTTGCGTGAATCGTTTGACTAACCGTTGATGCCTTTGAGGGCAGCTGTAACAATGGCGCGCGTGCTCTTGTTGAAAACTGTTCTGAAGTACGACTTTCATTAAAGGCATGACCTGAAACAGCTCACACGATTTTCCGGATGTCAGGTACCTGGTACTACGATGCAAAGACGTGTGGATGAATAGCAGACTTGCTTGACAAGGGCATACTTGAAAAACTGCAACTCGCGAGAAACTTATTGAATGTGTTTTTTCTTTAATAACCTTGCTTTTCGGTTCGCCATTACGTGGAGCCGAGGATGTCAAGGGCGTGATACTGCTGTGCCGAGCATGCAATACCACATCCCCATTCCTCATGTGAGAGAGGATGTCAAGGGCGTGTTACTAGTGTGATGGTCATGTGAAGTCGCCTCTGAGAAGTCGCAAATCTGAACTGAGGAATGGGGCGTGTTACTGGTTTGCCGGTCATGAAATACTCACATCCCTATCTCTCAACTTTCTCTTTCTTTCATCATCCTCTTTTCTCCTCGGTGCCCTCTCCTGTTCCCACTGCTTCCCCCCCTCTCCCTCCCCCTTTGCCAGTACCGCTGTCTGCTCTGCCCGTCCTCTTCCTCTGCCTCCACCACCACCATGCACCTCTCCCTCCTCCCACACCGCCCGCTCTTCCTGGACATTATTCGTCTGAGGGATCACATGCTGCTCAGCCATGGGGTCGACCCGCTCCCCGCCCACATGCCATTAGCCCTGCTTTGACTCGCTCTGACCTGCTCTGACTTTCTCTGACCTGCCTGCCCGTCTGCACCGCACAGCACCGCAGTCCAATCCTCTCTCACCACACCGCTCCCTCTTCTCCTACATCCCTCGCTTACAACACCGCATTCTGCTTAGCCATGACATCAACCCATTCCCTAAACACGCCCCTCTGGCCCTGCTCTGTCCTGCCTGCCTGCCCGCCCTTCTCCACCGCGCTGCACCGCTCTGGCTTCACTCTGACCGGAATCTCCTGAATGGTGTCCGACCGGAATCTCCTGCTACATTGCTGATTATGGCCCCATCTCATGGCTGCTGAAAGGTGTCTGCTTTTCCTCGTATACACCACAGTCCACCACGCTGCACCGCTCTGGCTTCACTCTGATCGGGATTCGGATGATGGTGGTCCCTATGCCTGCCGGATTGCTGAGCATGGCATGGTCTCTCGTCCCATGCCCGCCAATGGCCGTTCAGCGTACCTCATATACGCCGCTCTCCACCGCGCAACACCTTCCCAGTTTCGCTCAACACTTGGGGTGTAAGGAAAGGGCTTGTAGTGAGTGAGTGACTTCTTTTCGTTTCCGAGCAATAATTGACCTCTGCTCTGCGCCATACTTCGTGGACTGTGTTGTGTACGGTACCTTTCAGCTTCTATGCATGTCATACTACACTACACCTCTCCTGGTGATGTCTTTCCAAGTTTCTTGTACTAAATTGACTCTTCTACACCTCAATCTGTTCATAGTGTATGAGTATCTAACTATATCATTGTGTACTGCACTTGACAGCTGCTTATCATTCTGTGCATTACCATGAAGGGACAGGTGTGAAACATAGACAATGAGTACGCTGTGGAGTGGAATGGAGTGAAGGCAACGACTACAGCGCGTTGATTGAGGTGCATTGCTGCAGCTACATGAGCACTCATCTCATGTCTCTCTCCCTGCTGCTTCTTTGCACAAGTTGCTAGAGGGTCGTGTCATGTGGATCAACCCTAAAGCTGCAAACCCGCGAGCAATGACTTTGCCAAGCAGACGGGCTCCATTCCATTCCAAGCCAGCCAATCAGTACCAAGTCCAGGTAGTGGAAGGATAGTACAGTACAAAAACCCCATAGCAACTTGGGGGACAGCAAGAGAGCTTGCTCCTAGTGCTTCGTAACGCGGGCACAGGGTACATTTGACCTCATAGCGACATTCATAGCAACACACAAGCATAAATTACTGCCTAAGTTACAGTGTTACCTTGCCGTTACTGTTCCACCCCAGAGTATATCAACAGCACCACTCCACAGGAAGCACCTTGAGCCCTCTGACAACCCTGGGTGCCACTGTAAAGGGTACAGCCCCCTCCTCCTCCAACGCTGCTGCTCTCTCCTTCAACCGCTCTATGTTAGAGCGTTGCCGTGCCCTTACTGTTCCTCCTCAGCCTATCAACAACACCACCACTCCACAGGAAACACCTTGAGCCCTCTGACAACCCTGGGTGCCACTGTAAAGGGTACAGCCCCTCCCTCCTCCACCGCTGCTGCTGCCTCCTTCAACCGCCCTTCTAGCTCTGCCTGTCTGTCCCCACCTCCCCCCAGCACCACCCCTCACTGCACTGCCAGCATCATATTGCTTTGTCTGAACTGCTCCCCCCAAGCCACGTATATCAACAGCACCACTCCACAGGAAGCACCTTGAGCCCTCTAACAACCCTGGGTGCCACTGTAAAGGGTACAGCCCCCTCCTCCTCCACCGCTGCTGCTCCCTCCTTCAACCGCCCTTCTAGCTCTGCCTGTCTGTTCCCACCACCTCCCTCCAGCACCACCCCGCGCTGCACTACCAGGGTCATATTGCCCTGGGAGGGGGTTGTTGTTGTGAAGCCTATGCCACTCTGCCGGGCTGTGTGGGTTTCGGCTGGGTGAAGCAGGGAGGAGCTGTAGGGCGGGAGGGGGGACAGGGAGACAGGTGCAGAGGGAGAGAAAGGTGGTTATTGTGAAGGCTGCAACTTTTTAGTCGGCTCACGTGATAACCGCTCTCCCTCTCTCGCGCCATTTCCCCCAGCACCACCCCTCGCTGCGCTACCAGGGTCATGTTGCCCTGGGAGTGAAGGCAATGCCGATGGGAGGGAGGAGGGAAGAGCTGTGTTGGGGTAAAGGGAGGGGAGGGAGGGAAGGGAGAGAAGGGAGGGGAGTGAGGAAGAGAGAGCACTACCAGGGTCATATTGCCCTGAGAGGGAGGTTGTTGTTGTGAAGGCAATGCCGCTAGAGGGGAGCCCTCTGCGTGCCCTCATCTGCACTGCACACCCATCCCCACATCGACCCGTCATGTAAAGCAGCTGTCAGTTGAACTCCAGTCAGCCCGCTCTGTGCTCACCTGTACGCCCGGCAGATGGCGTGAGTCCTCCTGTCTCTCTGCGTGCTCTTGTCCGCCCCATCCATCCCCATAAGTTGAACCCAACTCGTTCAGCCCAACTTGGCCCTCACCTGTACGCCCGGCAGATGGCGTGAGTCCTCCTGTCTCTCTGCGTGCTCCCATCTGCCCACCCATCTCTGAAGCAAAGCGACCTCTCACCCTCTCCCACAGGGATGGCAGAGTAGCCTACCCCCCTCTGCATCTGAACCCAACTCAGTGCTCACCTGTAGGCTCGGCAAATTTTATGGATCCTTCTCCCTCTTTGCGTACTCTCATCCGCCCATCCGTCCCCAAATCGACCCGTCACCCGCTCCCACAGGGATGGCGGTGGCACGTCTGCATGCACATTCATCTAGTTGGGTGGAGAGGGGTGGAGTGGAGTGGAGTGGAGTGCAGTGTGGAAGGAAATGTTCGTCTGGGAGGAGATGGATGCGTAAAAAAAGTCAACAAATCTATCTACATTCAACCCTTACGAGATTGCTTGAAACAACCCACACACCTACCTCTTTTCCCACGATCACCACCAATGTGCCTTGCAACAAATGTGCCTTGCACCAAATGTGCCTTGCACCAAATGTGCCTTGCACCAAATGGGCCTTGCACCAAATGTGCCTTGCACCAAATGTGCCTTGCACCAAATGTGCCTTGCACCAAATGTGCCTTGCACCAAATGTGCCTTGCACCAAATGTGCCTTGCACCAAATGTGCCTTGCACCAAATGTGCCTTGCACCAAATGCAACACCAACTACACTCACAGGTGCACACACCTGCCTGCCCCCTCTCTCTCACCACCCTCACTCACCCTCACCACGCTCAATCACTCTCACCACACTCACTCACTCTAACCACGCTCAATCACTCTCACCACACTCACTCACTCTAACCACGCTCAATCACTCTCACCACACTTACCACCACTGTGCCGTGCTTCGGATGAACCACCTGAGCCAAGACTCTCAAGAACGGGCTGTTCCTATCCAGCAGCTCCGGCGGGGTCTCATCTGAGCCGTCAAACACATCCACCAGCACCAGATCGTACGGCTCCTGTTGCTCCTCCCTATCTCCTGCATCTGCTCTCTCCCCCTCCCCCCGCCTACCACTCTCCCCATCCCCCCCTCCTCTCCCAATCCTCTCTGCAGCCCTCAAAACGAAGCTCACTGCATCCTCGTTATAAACTGCCACCCTTCCGTACAAACCCTGCCATAATACCCGCTCTGCTGCTGCTGCGGCAGCTGCTTGGTCCTCTGGTAGCGGCATTCCACCCAGTGCTAGGGCCTCTGTCTCTCCCTCTGCTTTTGATCCAGAAAATGGTTTTGTCTTGGTTCTCATGGCCCATTCTGGGAAGCCCATGTGCCGCATGGCTGCCGCTATGACTGCTGGATCGATCTCCACTGCATCAACGTGGGCGGCTGGATGGGGGATGGGGGGAGGAGGGGGAAATAAGGGGGGATGAAGGAGTAAGGCAGTAAGGTAGAAAAGCCCATGTGCCGCATGGCTGCCGCTATGACTGCTGGATCGATCTCCACTGCATCGATTTGGGAGGCTGAGAGGAGGTGGAAATGGAGGAGGGTGGATGTGGGGGGGGATAGAGGTTAAGGCGTGGAAGCCCATGTGGTGTGTGGCTGCTGCTATGACTGCTGGATCGATCTCCACTGCGTCTGTGCGGGAGGCTGGGGGAGGGATGGGGGGAGGAGGGGGGAGTGAGGGGGATACGGGAGACAGCGGGTGGGACTCGCATGTGCATGTGCATTGGCATTCACGATTTCAAGACAGCAGGAGAGACTCACATGTGCATGTGCATTGGCATGTGCACGCGCAAGGGAGGGGAGGTAGCAGAAGGAGCAGGGAGGTAGATGTGGAGGTGGGACCCTGGGCCTCACAGGGCAGAGCGTGAGCGAGGCAGAGAGGCAGACTGCCCCCTCCCAGCCCGAGGCAGAGAGTGCGCAAGTGGAAATGGTCAAGTTCTGTGCCACTTCCCTCGTGCAAGGGATGGGAAGTAGCAGGTGGGTGGGTGGGACTCACAGGGTAAAGCATGAGCGAGGCAGAGAGGCAGACTGCCCCCTCCCAGCCCGAGGCAGAGAGTGCGCAAGTGGAAATGGTCAAGTTCTGTGCCACTTCCCTCGTGCAAGGGATGGGAAGTAGCAGGTGGGTGGGTGGGACTCACAGGGTAAAGCGTGAGCGAGGCAGAGAGGCGGACTGCCCCCTCCTAGCCCGAGGCAGAGAGTGCGCAAGTGGAAATGGTCAAGTTCTGTGCCACTTCTCTCGTGCAAGGGATGGGAAGTAGCAGGTGGGTGGGTGGGACTCACAGGGTAAAGCGTGAGCGAGGCAGAGAGGCGGACTGCCCCCTCCTAGCCCGAGGCAGAGAGTGCGCAAGAGAAAATGGTCAAGTTCTGTGCCACTTCCCTCGTGCAAGGGATGGGAAGTAGCAGGTGGGTGGGTGGGACTCACAGGGTAAAGCATGAGCGAGGAAGAGAGGCAGACTGCCCCCTCCTAGCCCGAAACAGAGAGCACGCAAGGGTGGGGGGGCAGCAAGGGGGCAGTGGGCGAGGTAGGGAGGAACAGATGGTGCAGGAGGGACTCACAGGGCAGAGCGTGAGCGAGGAAGAGGGGCAGACTGCCCCCTCCTAGCCCCAGGCAGAGAATGCGTGGAGAATGGGAAGCAGAGGAGGGCGGGTGGTGCAGGTGGCAACTGGTGAGGGCCGCTGCTGCCATTGACTTGAGGTCTGCGCCGTGTGGGCAAGGAGGGAGGGGAATGGAAGGAGGGGAATGGGGGGAGGGGAATGAGTGGAGGGGACAAGAGCAGTGCGGGAGGGAAGGAGAGCAAGTGGTGAGGGCCGCTGCTGCCATGGACAAGAAGTTGGGGACGTGCTTGTGAGGGCCGCTTTTTGGGGACGTGCTTGTGAGGGCCGCTTTTTGGGGACGTGCTTGTGAGGGCCGCTTTTTGGGGACGTGCTTGTGAGGGCCGCTTTTTGGGGACGTGCTTGTGAGGGCCGCTTTTCGAGGCCGTGCTTGTGAGGGCCGCTTTTCGAGGCCGTGCTTGTGAGGGCCGCTTTTCGAGGCCGTGCTTGTGAGGGCCGCTTTTCGAGGCCGTGCTTGTGAGGGCCGCTTTTCGAGGCCGTGCTTGTGAGGGCCGCTTTTCGAGGCCGTGCTTGTGAGGGCCGCTTTTCGAGGCCGTGCTTGTGAGGGCCGCTTTTTGAGGCCGTGCTTGTGAGGGCCGCTTTTTGGGGACGTGCTTGTGAGGGCCGCTTTTTGAGGCGCCTCAAAAGTGGGAAAGCAGAGCAGAGGAGGTGTGCAAAGAAGATGGGAACGTGCTGGTGAGGGCCGCTGCTGCTGCCATGCACTTGAGGTCTGCGCTGTGTGGGCAAGGAGTTGAGAAGGCAAGAGCAAAGGGGTTAGGGGGCGAGAGCAGAGGAGGAGTGCAAAGAAGTGCTGGAGAGAGGAATGGGGGGAGGGGACAAGAGAAGTGCTGGAGAGAGGAATGGGGGGAGGGGACAAGAGAAGTGCTGGAGAGAGGAATGGGGGGAGGGGACAAGAGAAGTGCTGGAGAGAGGAATGGGGGGAGGGGACAAGAGAAGTGCTGGGGAAGCAACTGGTGGGGTCCGCCCGCTGCTGCCATGCACTTGAGGTCTAGGCCATGTGGGCAAGGAGAGAGAGGGGAGGCAAGAGCAATGGGGGAGAGGGGAGGGGTTTGGGGCAGGAGTTGTGTGGGAGAGGAAGGGGAATGGGGAAGTGCTAGTGATGGCCGCTGCTGGCATCCAGATGCGGTCTGTGAGTGGGCCCCGGTTGGACTTTGGGGTTAGGGAACCAGAGCAGAGGAGGAGTGCAGAGAAGTTGGGGCTGTGCTGGTGAGGGTCGCAGCTGCCGTGGACTCTAGTGATGGCCGCTGCTGGCATCCAGATGCGGTCTGTGAGTGGGCCCCGGTTGCATTTTGAGTCGACTCAAAAATTGACTTGTCACACGAGGATGCGGTCTGCGACACGTGGGCAACGTGAGGGGAGGCGAGTTAAGTCCCACCCCAGTTGGGTGCCATGACTTGCCGTGGCAGCAGAAACCATGATGCTTATCAGGTCCGCAACACGTGGGCAAGGTGAGGGGAGGCGAGAGCAATGGGGAGAGGAGAGGAGTTGGGAAGGAGAGCAGTGCGGGAGAGAAGGGAAACAGTGAATCAGAACGAAAAGGAGCCCGTGGCTAATAGTATGCTGATGCTGAAGCTGATGCTGATGCTGATGCTTATGCTTATGCTTATGCTGATGCTGATGCTGATGCTGATGCTGATGCTTATGCTTATGCTTATGCTGATGCTGATGCTGATGCTGATGCTTATGCTTATGCTGATGCTGATGCTTATGCTGATGCTGATGCTGATGCTTATACTGATGCTGACGCTGACGCTGATGCTGATGCTGATCTGATGCTGATGCTTATGCTGATGCTGATGCTGATGCTTTTGCTGATGATTATGCTTATGCTGACGTGCTGATGCTGATGCTGATGCTGATGATGATGATGATGATGCTTATGCTGATGCTGATGCTTATGCTGATTCTGATGCTATACTGATGCTGATGCTTATGCTGACGCTGATGCTGATGCTTATGCTGATTCTGATGCTGATGCTGATGTTGATGCTTATGCTTATGCTGATGCTAATGCTGATACTGATGCTTATGCTGATGCTGATGCTGATGCTTATGCTGATGCTGATGCTTATGCTGATGCTGATGCTGATGCTGATGCTTATGCTGATGCTTTTGCTGATGCTAATGCTGATGCTGATGCTTATGCTGATACTGATGCTTATGCTGATGCTAATGCTGATGCTGATGCTGATGCTTATGCTGATGCTGATGCTGATGCTGATTCTTATGCTGATGCTGATGCTGATTCTGATGCTGATGCTGATGCTTATGCTAAGGCACTCGGAACAAGCCTACACCAGCTAGGGGGCAATGGGAGATGGGCAGTTATTAGCAGGGCACTCAAAGTGTGCGTGCAACAGCAAGGGAACAATGGGAGAGCGGCATTTCATAGCAGGGCACTCAAAGTGTGCGTGCAACAGCAAGGGGACACGAGAAGGGACACATTCAAACGCAAGGCAGTCCGGTTGCTGCCGCTGCAGTATAACACGCCTCCTCTCTCCCGCTCCACCCCCTTCCCTATTAGCAGGGCGGTCAAAGTGTGCGTGCAACAGCAAGGGGACACGAGGAGGCATACATTCGCAAGCGAGGCAGTCTGGTTGTTGTCGCTGCAGTATAACACGCCTCCTCTCTCCCTCTTTTGAGACGCCTCAAAAACCAGCAAGGGGGTAAGAGGAGGCGCACCGCACACACGCACATTCAAACGCAAGGCAGTCCGGTTGCTGCCACTGCAGTATAACGCGCCTCCTCTTTCCCTCTCGACCCCCCTTCCCTATTAGCAGGGCAGTCAAAGTGTGCATGCAACAGCAAGGGGGCAAGAGGAGACCGACGCACATTCGAACGCAAGGCAGTCTGGTTGTTGCCGTTGCAGTATAACGCGCCTCCTCTCCCCCTCTCCCTTCCCTCCAATAGTCACATCACTCTCCCCCTTTACAGTCACATCCACAGCCGCTGTAGCCACCCGCGCCACGCTCTGCCTGGTGCTCTCATTGAATCTCAACACGCGCCACTCGTGCCTTAGCACGCGCACTGCTGCCCCTTCTTCTTCTTCCCCCCATTCTTCCGCGTCCTGCAGATGTGGGAGATGGGGGGGAGGGCGGGGATAGGGGGAGGGGGAGGGGGGCCGGGGAAGGTTAGGGGGGATGGTGAAGCAGCTACGCTCTGCCTGGTGCTCTCATTGAACCTCAACACACGCCACTCGTGCCCCAGCACGCGCACTGCTGCCCCTTCTAATTCCCCCAATCCCTTCGCGTCCTGCGGATGAGGGGAATGGGGGGAGGGCGGAGAGGGATAGGGGGAGGGGGAAGGCGGACACAAAATGATGAAGCAGCCTTGCTCTGCCTCGTGCTCTGATTGGACCGCAGCAGGTACCACTCGTGCCCCAACACACGCATTTCCCCCCCTCCCCCCCCCGCTTGCCGCCACTCCTCCACGCAGTGCAGAAGGGGCGCGCGGAAGGAGGGCGGAGAGGGATGGGGGGCGCAGGGGCGGAAGTGGATAAAGGAGCCACGGAGGGGGGAGGGATAAGGTCGCAGCAGGCGATCGGGAGAGGGGTGATAATAACGAGGAAGGAGGGCGGAGAGGGATGGGGAGAGCAGGGGCGGAAGTGGATAAAGGAGCCACGGAGGGGGGAGGGATAAGGTGGCGTGGCGGGAGGTGATCCTGCCGGGGAGGGGTGATAGCCACTGAAGGGGAAACAATAACGAGAGTTTCCAGGGTGATAATAACGAGGGGACGCAGCTGCTTGCCTCGTCGGACGCGGGGTGAGATGTGACAGAAACGGTGCCATTCCCCCAATCCGACCGTTGCGAGACACCTCGTCGCCTGCCTTCCCCTCCCCCCCTTGCGTGCCTAGGGTGATAATAACGAGGGAATTCAGCAGCTTGCCTCATCAGACGCGGGGTGAGATGTGACAAAAACGGTGCCGTTCCCCCAATCCGACCGTTGCGAGAACACCTGGTCTCCCGCCCCTCTGCCCCACCCGCCGCCCTGCGTGCCCCACCACTCGGGCGACACGTCCCACCGGCCCGGATCCGCCCGCGCCGCCGCGCGACGCGACGCAGAAGTCACCTGCACCTGCCGCGCCGCGGCTAGGACTGAGGCAGGTGGTATTTGCCGCCGGGATGCTTGATGCGAGTGTGACTGTAACGAGGTGCGGTACGTCGCTGGGGAGAGAGTAGGCTGTTGGAGGAACGGGTGACTGTATCGAGAGATAGGCTGTATGCTCGGGTTCATTTGAAGGAAATGGCATGGGCGACTTGAATTGCAGCGAGAAACCGTCTCAGCATTGACTAGAGACGTAATGTGCGGAGGGGATGAAGGACGTAATGTGAGAAGGGAACGGCTTGGGCGACTCGAACTGCAACGAATAACAGTTTCAGCATTGACTAGAGACGTAATGTGCAGAGAGGACGGTTTTGAGTGGGAAGAGGTAAGCGCGGGTAGAGCTGGAGGCGCCGCAGAATGCGCCATAGCGAAATTCGTATGCACACAGAAGAAACCGCGAATTCTTTATTCTCGCAAATCCTCGCTATTAAGCGACCCAGCTATCTGAATAAGCTTATCATTCCAGAAAACTGTTTTGGTTTTTGAGGCTGCTTCTAGTTCACCAATCAGGTGTGCCGGACCTGAATTGATTATTTACGGTAATTCGACCCCGCAGTACACCTCCGAACACCAGACCCACGCTCATAACATTCAGAGAGAGATCACATGCTTACAAAGAAAGATGGGCTTACATAAAAGCTTCTATGGCCTCAGCCACATAATATTTATAATACAATCCCATTAGATGTAAAAACACTGCCTAGCAACACATGCTTCTAGAGATTATTACAAAAAGCACACACAAAGGTGTGTTAATTAGAAGCTTACAAGCCCTCTTGAGCATCAGCCTCAATTTCCAGCACCTGATCCATCACACAACCCACCAGCACCGGTCTCCACTCCTGACATTCCTCAGCACACTCCAGTGCAACCATTGCCAGGGAGTAAAGCACCCCATCTGGCCAATCACAGCACGGCTGCATCTGACACGACTGGCGTGCCGCCCGCGCCACCACCTCTACCGCCCGGTGGATGTCTGCCGCCGCCCAGCAAGCAGCTAGAAGCTGTCGAACCGCCCCACCGTCGACCCACCCTGTAAGCAGATGCAGTATTAGCAACCCAAAAGCAAACACATCCCCTGCCTCTGCTCCTCCACTCTGCCCCTTCCCATTCTCTTTCCCACCCTCATTCCAGCCCACTCCAAGCCCTTCCCTTCCCTTCCTCTCTCCCCCATCCTCTGCCAAACAAATATACCCCTCCATACCCATCTCTCTATTCAACTTCTCAGACATTTTCCCCGGGTCCGCTGCAAGCGCAGCCACACCCGCCAGCAGCAGCTTGCACGAGTCATCGCGAGTCAACAGCACGGTCTCCACTCCCAGGCACCCCGCCGCGATAGGCGGCGACTCCTGGTGCAGCCACGTCAGCGCGCGGCACGTATGAGTCACGATTTTCAGCCGGGTCTGCCAACTCAGCGGCCTGAGAGACCCACCGCCCAGACTCCTGGTCCCAACCAGGCCATTTCCCGCACTCCCCTCCACAAACCTCTCACTTGTGCTACTATCCGGACTATTGAAACTGCCCGCACTGCTGCTCCTATGCACCAGACTCCCGCTGCTGCTCGTTCGACTCATAGCACCGCCAGAGCCGCCGCCGCCAGCGCCGCAGCAGGCGAGGCGAGTGGCCAATGAGGTGCTGCCAGGTGGGCGCGGGTAGACGAGGCAGCGGAGCGACGGGGAGCAGCCGAGCAGGGGGCAGATGTGCGCGTGCTCTAGTGGCGCAATGAACCGCTGCGCGGCAGCCTCAAAGGGAGACGGAGCAGACGAAGCAGACTCGGGATCTGCCGGGCCCGAGAGCCAATCCGGGCCGTTCATCTGCGCGGCGACGATCTGGATCCCGCCCATGTACCCGTTATAAGCGCGCACGAGCGGGTGGCGCGGCATGAGGCAGAGGCGGTCGCTGAAATTCCCCGTGGCTCCCGCGACCGTGCCAGCGTCCAGATGCAGACAGCCGGGCTGCGATGAAATCGAGGGAAGAGAGGGGAGCGCGTTCCTGTGCGGCGGTCGCGTCGCGACGAGACTACCGGTGGTGCTGCTGCGTCCGTCGAACGGACCGTCGAATGCATCCGCGTGCTCCGCGTCCGCCGCCTTGCCGTCCTCCGAGCATCGGCGGGAGGGCATCGAGGCTCCGCCCCGCGCGCCCCCGCGCGACCGCGGAGTCTCCCCCTCCACTAGAGTCACCTCCAGCCCTTCCGCCTCCGCCACCGCGCCCGCGCCCCAGTCCGCCTCTGCGCTCCCGCGCCCGTCCACCACGATTCCCGGCTTCAGGGGCGTCGCATTCTTCTGCGCGACGGCTCCGCCCGCCGACGATTTCCTCCCCCCCTTGTTGCTGTGCGACGAGATCTCCCACTTTTCGCTGTGCGACGCTTTCTCTCCCCACTTGCTGCTGCGCGATGTCTCGAAGTAGCCCGGCGACGGAGGGCGCTGCTTGAAGCTGCGGTTGCTTTCAACGGACGAAACGGACGGCACACGGGCGGATGGCGATTCCAAGGGCTCGGTCTGCGGACCCGACAAGTCTTGCGAGCTCGTGCGCCAGAATGACGTCAGCTTGGCGCTCAACGCGCCCGATCCGGACGACGACGGCGCGAGATGCGGAGAAGCAGCGCTCGCAGCGGCAGCGCCGTTAGTAGCACCGTGGGATGCGGAGGACGCGGGCGGGGAGGTGGAATCGGCGCGCTGTCCGCGCTCCGCCGGGGGGGAGTACTTGCGCGAGCCTGCTGAGGAGAGAAACCCCCGCGGGGGGGTTTGGGGCGCGGAGACATAGTGCGCATCCCCCGCAGCAGCAGCATTCCCGCGCGGCAAGTCCACAACGGGAGACGCGGCGCAGGATCCGGGGCTGCCGATGGTAATGTCTTTAAGAACCTTCTTGCCCTGCAGCGCGACGAGCCGCGCGTTGTCCGGGAGATGCGCCGCGAAAAACGGCCCGGATAAGGCGTCGATGATCGCTATGGCGGACCGCTTTCCGAACATGCTGGGCCTGAGAGTGATGAGGGAGGGGATGGGGCGAGAGGGGAGACGAAGAGGAGAATGAAGCACGCGGAAAGTAAAGGGGGGGAGAGAGGAAAGCAGGGCGGAGGAAAGAGGGGGCAAGTGAGATAAGGTGCAGCGCATTTCACGCTGCAAAAAGGGGGAGGGGAAAACGGCGCGCAGCGTACTTGGCGGAGACGAATACGCGGTGCGGCGAGAGCTGCTTGGCGATCTCCAGCAGCCCCGCCTTGCGGTCGTCGTTGCGCACGACGATGATGTCCACGTCCGCCTGATGCGGCGAGAGAGGGGGGAGAAGAGAAGGAAGGGAGAAGGGAGGATGGAGTGAGAAGCAAGGGTGAGAAAGGACCTCCGGTAGCCCCGCCTGCGGTCGTCGTTGCGCACGACGATGATGTCCACCTCCGCCTGATGGGGGGGGGGGGGGGGGGGGGGAGGGAGGGGGGGGGAAGGGGAGAATGGCCTTCGGCAACCCCGCCTTGTGGTCGTCGTTGCGCACGACGATGATGTCCACCTCCGCCTGATGCGGCGAGAGGGACGGGGGGGGGGACGGTGAAGGGGAACGGAGGGAGGAAGAAATGCTTTACTCTAAACCCCACAGCCGACCGTTGTTGCACCTCCCCCACAGTCGCCACTCGAGAAGGCGGAATAGAAACAGTTCGAAAACGGAAAAAAAAAAAAAAAAAAAAAAAAAAAAACCAAAAAATCACTCGTGAAATGCATCTGACAGCAGTTAATACCTCGTTGGTGCGCGCGAACTTGACGAGCGGGTCGAGCAGCAGCGCGCGCATGTTCTTCTCGTGCGTGTCCGCCGTCATCGGGCTGACCTCGCTGATGGGCAGCCGCATCATGTCGCCTGGCATGTCAGCCATAGAATAAGGGACCGGCAAAGCAGATAGGGGACATAGGAGCAGGAAAGAAGGGGGTAAGTGGCGGTACGAGATGGTCGTTAGATGCGTGGCACGGTCCGATCCGAAGCCGCCACGGAATCCGTCAGCTCCTGATAGAACTCAAATTCCGTCTCCGTCGCGGGCCATAGACTACACATGACTCATGTGAAATTGGCCTCGGAGGCCTCGAGATCACCGTAGGCTCGCGCGACTCAAGACCCGCGCAGCGAATGCGGCTTGGATTCATCCCCAGCAAACGCAGGCTTACGATCGACGGAGATGTGCGTAAGCACGTGCACAAGGTGGATGCGCGCCGATTTCGTCGCGCCGCTCATACGCCACTCCGCAATGGCGAACGCCAGCGCATCTTCGCTGAGGCTCAACGAACCATCGCGCGCCTCCACCAGCCACGCCGCCATTGCCGCTGCCATTGTTCCGGGGCGCCGCTGCTGGTGCTGGAGAGGAGACTGCTCCTCCTCGATCTCCATTTCTCCACGTTAGATGGCCACGATGTGATTCGACGACTCCGGAAAATGCGGCGTATGATGCGGTGGCAAACACGACAATCCCCCACCTAATCAACAGTATTAGGATCTCAATGAGAAGCTGAACGGAATCGTTTTGTGAACTATTCGTGATTGTACTCAGGAGCGGGCTTGAGAGAGCTTCGTGTACTTGTAGTTGCAAAACGCTTAGTAACTGAACTTGAATCGTGTGGCTGAGCATTACAGTACAAGGTCTGTCTCACACAAAATTGGACGATTCGATGTACAAAGAAATACTACACGCTGAAAGATTTCACATCAACACAATGGACTGTGGCTGCTTTCGTACAGTCACATTCCATTCGAAGACAGTGTTGGCTGACTTCTTCTCCTCGCATTGTGAGGTGGGGCAATGGCTAGGCGGAACGCCATGCGACAGTAGCGTGACTTGCGCGAGCAGCGCGTGCCTGCTTCGTGAAGAAATGAGGTCCTGGTATTGGTGGCTGAAAGGGGTTTGGAGGGTTTGGGATGGGTGTACTAGATAGATGTGTACGAATTTGTGCAGCGCTTCAGTGCTTGGCTGGGTATTCGTCTTTGGCTGGAATTGATTTGGCTGTTTGTCAGGGACAATCAATGTTAGGGTGCGATGTGGAAGGCAAGGGAAAAGGGGCGGTGGGAAGGTTGGCGGCACGAATGTGTACCTCAGGTCTGCTTCGAACGCGCGCTTCGATAAAACCAAGAAGGCAAGACTGTCCTTGGCTCAGCAGTGACAATAGCTTCAAGGTTTCGACGGCAGGATTTCATTCCATTAAGTCAATTATTACACGTGTCAGTATAAGACAGTTCCGACGCCATCGTGGCAGCAAAAGTGTTGTAAGCCTCTGAGAATATTCCCTAGGCTCGACAAAATTCGGCACCAAGCCGCAGGTACGGTGAACGCATTTCTTCCCACCCAACTGACCTGACATAATAGACTTGCCAAGGGGCCCAGCCAGCCCTGGCTCGGCGGGATGCCCCATTGTACTACTGTACTTCCCGTCTTCCATTCGAATATGCCTCTGGACGGACCTTTCCAGCAGGGACATTGCCACGTCATATCAATGCTGCTGCTGCTGAACTAGGAATGGAAATGGGGTTGCACCAAAATATCGAAAGATGGGGATGTTGTTGGCCCCTCGCAGTTGCAGGGGCCACAAAACGACGACAAAACGACAAGAGGATACAACCAAGGCCGAACTTTTCATGAAATACATTTAACAAAAAACAGAACAAAAGATGCTACAGAAATAGTTATCCAGGAACATAAAGATGGTACAGAAAAAAAAAAACCCAAATTGATGTGTGAAAAAAACAAACAAATGAGAATGCAGTACGTGCTCATGAGCACTTTGTAATCATGCATTCATGACTATGTTATATATCAAAACACAGCATGCACATGCGTGTGTGTGTGCGTATGTGTGCATGCGGGTGAGTGTGTGCGCGTACGTATACATGTGCATGTGTTTGTGCTTGTGCATGCGCACATGTACGCATGTGCAAAGTGAGGCTGTAGGGAGGGATGGGCGGGTAATGAATGTTGGAAACAAAGTGTCTTAAACGCTTCTCATGTGTCGAAACACTAAACTGCAAGCGAAGCGAACTACAACGATGCAACGGCGAGTCAACCATTGGAGGTTGACAGAAAACGTAACCGCTGGAGGTTACGCGAACGTCAAAAGGTCGCTGACCTTTGTCATGCTTTTAATTGCAGAATAGAGGATAGGAAGTAACAATATAAAAGCAAGACAAAATACAATACTGTGTATAGTTATATAGCACTAGGCGGGAACCTGCGCATTCAAGGGCGGGGGAATCAAGCCGAAGTAGCGAAAAGTACACGTCCGTTGTAGAGCAACGGTAACCCGAAGAAAATACTTAGGCAAGCAACAAAGTAGGATCAATTGCTTGTTTGTTTGTTTCCACTCTAAGCAAAGACTTGTTCCTAGCCAACCTCTACAGATGCGCCAGTGGATGATGTCACAGTAGTAGGCACAAGGAGGAGCCATAACTAGGGTTTACCTAGCTAGGCAAGAGAGGATTAGACAAAGGAGGAGGTTTGACTAGCAACAGTTGGGATACAAGTAGGAAACCTTAAGGGGCCGTACTCACTACAGAGTACCCCACTGCAAGCTAGACAAGCATTATAATCTAACACACCCCCATAATCAAAATGGGGTATCATCAGTACAGCAAGCAGTCATAGAGCAGGTTCACAAGCACAAATAAAGCTAGAGGCAGTCGCAGAGGGCAAGTGAGGAGGAGGAGTGACTGTGAGAGGAGAGGAGATGGGAGGCGACGGTGGAAGCTGCAGACACACAGGAGCGGCTGGCTAAGTGGCTACCGGAGCAATGGCCCGGACTACAGGAGTAACTGGCTCCGGGGAGATTGTAGCATCCTGACCGGAGCAACTGACCCACATGCGACTGGCGACTACCGGAGATTGTAGCCTCCGGACTACTGGCGCTGCTCGCGACACAAGTGCTGCCTCCGCTCAACTTCCCGCAACTGTCCCACACCCCTCTCACACACCCCCTGCTGAAACCATAGCTCCACTCCCACGACACCCACCCTTAAACCCTAAACCCTCGGCTCCCACACACCCACCCCCCTCAGCGGCAGCTGCAGCAGTGGGAGACGGAGGAGGAGGAGGAGCTGCAGGTTACCCACACCGTTCACCCCCATGCCCGCAACCCCCAAACCCTAACGCAGGTAGGAGCGCAAGAAGCAGCAGGGGCAGCTCATGGAGGGAAAGGGAGGAGGCGGGGGGGTCTCCTGGGCCCCACGAAGGAGCAGGGCGCGCCCCCCCCGTGAGAAGAGTTAAACGAGAATGGGAATGACTAAGTGAAAGTTGGGTACAAACACAAACCCTAGAAAGCTGTAACCCATATGTGCTACCCCACTATAGCCTACAATAGCTATGTCATATATATCTAACACACCCCCATAGGCAAAGTGGGGGAGAACAAGGGGTCACAAGACCAGTCAAGCAAAGCAAAGCAAAGCAAGCTCAGGGTGGATCACAAAGTCACCACACAGTCCGAGCACAGGGTCAAGGCCATAAGGCCAGTTCACATGCACGAGTGCACATATATATATAACACTAAACAACCAAGAGCAAGTATATATATATGCAAGAGAACAAGTACGATCAAGAGGTGAGCAAGTGAGGCAAGACTGGTACAAGTCCCAGCTGAGTGCAGAAGCGCTGATGATTACAAGGCGGAAGTGCCTTGGTGAAAACATCAGCAGTGTTGGCCTCATAGGCCACGTACGCAAGTCGCAACTGACCACGCTGCTGCAGCTCACGAGCAAGAAAGTAGCGGAGAGCTATGTGCTTCGTTCTGTGCTCCAGGCGCTGCTCTCGACATAAGGCCAGCATGGCCTTGTTGTCTACGTACAACACTGGAGGAGAACGAGGCGGCTCTCCAAGGTCAGTCAGCAGGTAGGTGAGCCAGCGAAACTCCTGAGCAGCCATGGCCCGGGCGTAGATCTCAGCCTCACAACTAGAGTCGAGAACAGAAGACGAGCAAGTAGCCCGCCACGAAACAGAGCCGGAACCAAGACTGAAGGTGTAACCCTGTGACGACCGCTGAGTAGCCTGGTCGTCAGCCCAAGAAGCGTCCGCGTGCCCAGTGAGGACCATTGGACTCCGCCCTCCAAGCACTAGCCCCATGCCCGATGTACTGCACAAGTAGCGCAACACCCTCTTCGCTGCAGCCATGTGCTCTGGTCGGTGTCTCCCAGGAGCAACATAGCGTGCAAGAATGCTAAGAGGGTATGCAAGGTCAGGTCGTGTGCAGGTCATCAGGTACATGAGGCAGCCAACAAGCTCTGGGTACGGGCCACTCGACTCTACGGACTCATCCGAAGGCAGAGCTGAGAGCGAGTGGCGAGTAGCCAGAGGAGTGGCCTGAGGCGAGGAGTACGTGAAGCCGAAGCGCTGAAGGACCTGCTGCACCATGTGTGACTGAGTCAAGGTAATGGTGCGGCGTGCTCTGTCCCGAGTGATCTGCAAGCCAAGGTAGCTGCGCAGTTCACCCAGGTCTGTGCACGTGTGTCTCTTCAGCAGCTCGGACTTCACGTAGGCGAGTCCAGCAGTGTCCGCTGTGGCAAAGACCAAGTCGTCGACGTACACGAGGATGTAGAACGGCGGCAGAGAAGTGTCGGTGCGCAGAAACAACGACGGGTAAACAGTAGAGGGAGCAAACCCAAGAGCCGCAAGCGTGGTCCTCAGTGTGTCGTGCCACTTTCGCGGTGCCTGGCGGAGACCGTAGACTGGCCGTCGGAGGCTCCACTGGGTGCCAGGAGGGAAAGTCCCAGTGAAGCCACGTGGACGGCGTAGCCAGATCTCCTCGTGCAGGCTACCCTGCAAGAAAGCAGTGCTTAAGTCAAGAGAGTGGAGCTCGTAGTCGCGCTGAGCGGCTATGTGCAGCAGCACCCGAAGAGAGGTCATCTTCGGGGTGGGAGAGAAGGTCTGAAAGTAGTCAACTCCCTGCCGCTGACTGAAGCAACGAGCGACGTACCGCGCCTTGAAGACAGGTGGAGAGCCCGGCGGCCGCTTCACCCTGAAGATCCAGATGCCACTGACAATGTTCGCCCCAGGAGGGGGAACCGCGTCAACGTAGGTGCCTGTGGACTTCGAGGAAACCATCTCTGCATCCATAGCTGCCTGCCACTGAGAGGAGTAGGGACCCTCTACGGCCTCCGCGTAAGAGCGCGGAGTCGGGATGTCTAGTGCATCCGGGTCTCCCTCAGGGGCAAGTAGTACGGACGCGAGATGAGGGGAAGCAGCAGCCAGACACTAGAACTCCTCCTGCCTGTCCTCAAGGACGTCCGTGCCAAGAGCACACTCACCCCCGACGGACGGAGGACTGACAGACGCAGACTCAGCAACAAGACTGGCAGCGTAGTCTAGACGACAGCGAGCAGCAAAGTCAACGAGCTCAGCAACAAGCGCAGAC